GAATGACAGAACATCTGATTCCCACAGGACTCGTTCCTTTATCCTTTCTCCCTAGACTCTTCTCCTGTGCTAGCTTGTTTTAATCTACTTCTAAGCTATTTCTCTTGGCTTTTTTTCTTCTGAGAGAAAGGAAACAGATTGCCTCAGCTTTTAGTATAATCCTGTTGCACCTTCTGCTGTAGCCAAAGCCACCTACTGACCCCACCAATCAGTACAAGCACCAAAGGGTGCTTTTTAATCATTTCACTTTTCCACTAAAGGAAATGCGTTAAGACCTCTAGCCTTAAAATGCAAAACCCCGCTGAGATCTGTGCCACCTGGATGCCAGTCAATATTTTCCTTCTAAGTGCCTTCCCACCTAATTTTCAAAGGGGAAGTGAATCCTGAAGTCATCCAGTCCAGGAAAACTTATTTAAATAGGAGGCAGTGCACTAAAGGATGCTTTTAGCAGGCTGGTAGCTGATTCTTCACAGGCAAGGCTATACCTGGCTCAGGATAAGGGTCCCATGGGCACCAGTGCCCTTGTTTTTTCTTATTTTGAAAAGGAAAAAGAATACATACTGAGAAAAAAAAAGTGTAGGGTCTGAATGTGACACTGTTAGCCTTCTGTTTCTAGTTGAGTCAAGGAAAATATGGAAAGTTTTTCCTTCTTCTAGAGCTATACCTTTTTGCTAGATGCTTTCTGAAATAAGGACTCCCCAGGTCTGTGGGAACTCGTATTACTGTAGTCTGGTATCTTGCTGATCCGTACCAGATTGTTGCTTTATTTCAGTGTAGGAAATCCTAATCTCTAACTGAAACATTTTGGAGGTGTTTATACGGTCTCTTTCCTAGAGAGTCTCTTGCATGCAGTAATACAAGGGCACAGTGAGTTTCTTTCCCTTTCAAATCTATTGTTGCATCTCAAAACTGATAAAAAATTCATATCTGAAATATCTCTGCTCTGTCAAATGTAGTTGAAATCAGTCCTGGAGTTGAAAAGGTATTTTCAAGAGGAAGGAGTGAAAACCAGCAGAGTATTCTGCATAAACCATGTTTTCCCATAAAGCTGAGCTGAAAACACTGGTGTGCTTTTTTTTCCTCCCTGAGAGCCAAAAAAACATTTCATTGGTGTTTGTGCCTCTGAGGCTCTGGTTTTCCCTTGGAGCTGGTACAACTTCTTGGCCCTGGGCCATTTCCCAAGGACCATTGCATTCATCCCTTTGCTGGGGAAGTTTCCAACTGAGAAAGAATTTACCTTGGCCTAAACAAACGAGGGCTCAAGGCAACAATAACAGAGGGCCAGATTACACACTGGGTCCTTCAGTCTGTCTTAGAAATACCTTCCCGTGCTGCCGAACCAGCCCTGGCAGAGTGGAATCGCAGCGCATTTGCAGACTACACGTAGAAAAATCAGATTCTTCTCTTTGCAGAAACACAATTTCGTCAATGCCCTATAAAACCTGTGTCCTGATAGAAGCATCAACCTACTTGTTGCAAGTCCAGTGAAGAGGGAGGGGTCTTTCTGCCTTCCTCCTTTTCTTCCCAACTAATCCAGACAAAATCTGGCTCTGAATCTTCAACATTTCAAAGGATGCAAAGAGATGGGAGTCACATATGCTGGCAATGGGCAGAGTAATGATAAAAGAGTATATCTCCCACTACATTTCTGCTATTAAATGCTTTGAAATTGGGTAGGCAGGGCTATCCCTGAGGAAATATTCCCTAATCATTAATCCTATACTAACCCTCAGCCTGTACCTTAAAGACTAAGTATACAATATTCCTTCTCTGCTTTTTGTGTTTTCCATTTGGCCTCTTGCTCATCTATTGTTTTCCAGTCCAACTGAACATCACCTTGTTCCAGTACTTGAAGGTCTCCCAGTCATTCAGGCTGAATCTGCACCCAGTAACACTGCAGACAACTGTTTTTAAAGATGTAGTCAAACTAGAAGAAACTATTATATTAAAACCTCTTATTTTGGCTTTGCTCTGGTCTGTCCAGTGTTAGTCATCAGATTCACACCAACATATATAAGGTGGCTTGGTATCCAGGTATAGAGACATCATATCTGATAACCCCTTGGTCATATCATATCATATCCTTGATTTAATATCTCCCTGATAAAACTATGCAGTTGCTCTCAATCTGGTTTCACAGTGTGATGAGCTTCCAGAGATTTTCAGCTCAGTCAAATGAGCCTGGCTGTCTTAACCAGTTCAAACACCACATTTTTGTTAATCCAGCTCATTTGTAGCTGAAATGAACTAAAGGGCATTCACACAAGCAGTTTCGCAAGCAGAGATCATGGGAGAAATAAGCACGCTGAGGTGTGCAGGGAACAGGGATTGCTCCATTCAGAATAGAAGTGTCTACACTGTGAAGCACCCATATAGTTAAATTAATGCAAAAAACATGAAATCAACTTTAAGTTACACTTCCAGTCCAGAGGCAATGTTCAGCCATCTATTTCAATCTTGTTCTGAGATCTTTCCATAGAGAGGGAAGGGCTGGATTTGAACACCGTTAGTATTTTACACACTCATGGTGGTCTTGAGCAGCTCTAATAACCACTGCTCTGTAGTGTCATTCTCAGCCCAACCAGTAATAGCCCCATCATTCCATTCCCCGTTCTTGATCATTTGGGAACTATTCTCTGAAGAACTGACATTGCCACTTTGAACCAACAGGGAGATAAACTTTCATATATCAAGTATAGCCAGCTCTTCAACAGCACAGCTTTAATTAAAGTCAGGCATGTCACAAACTGTATCACAGTGCTTGCAAAACCAGTGAAGGCCAAGGGGAACCTTCTGAATTTTTGATTATAAGATAAAACTTGATTTTTATGGCCGTGACCTTGCCTCCAAGATCTGCCTCCTGCAGATTTGAAGGCCCTTTGAAGGATGGTGGCACAGTCCTTTCACAATCAGTCCTATAGACCAAGGTTAGTTCCGTCTGTACATCTGAAATGTCTATGCACAGGGTCTGGTGATTCTCTTCACCAGAAATGACTTCTCTGATACCACCAACCCAGCATGGTACGTGCTGCTGTACTTGTGGGCAGAAGCCAGCCCTATCTCTGTGGCGGTTTAGCAGTCAGCTTGTGACTCGGTTTGGCAAAACTCCAGATATGCGCAAAAACCTCAAGAACATTTCCAAAGCATGTCACGGAGGCAAGGTCACCAGTAGGCTGTGGGCTTGGGATGATAAGCATATATTAGAATAGAAAAATGGCCATACGGAATATGACAAAAGCCTGTCTAGCCTGTCTCCAACAAGGAGGACCCTGAGAAAGAGCATATATGTAGTTCCCCTTTCCTTGTCACACCTTCCCCACCTTCAGCATATCGTTAGGCTGGTGTATTGTTGCTCATGTGAGAGGAAGATTCAAATTTATGCTCCTTATGCAAAATCCCTATTGCAGATCCTTGGAATATAAATATTCACACATGTACCAAGCAGACATGGAGCAGAACCTCCTTCAAACTCGTGGCTTCTTCTGGAATTTGAGAGTATGTCAACTAACTTCCTTCTTCAGCCAAATTTAAAAGTAATCAAACCCCCCATCTTCCAAAAAACATGCCATCTTTTACTCTTTTATTTGCCACCTTGGACCTAAATAGCTGTGGCCTTAATACCAACATATTGATCTTGTGGCCAGTACTCTAAATAGATCTTGAGGGAGCATCAGCTCACCTCTCATGCTAAGGTATTTCCTCTTGGATAAGCAATCATCAAGCATAAGAACTCACCCTGGCTCATAACTCAGGCTCCACTGTTAAGGCAACCGAATTGCCTCAGGTTGTCATGATAATCTTCGGAGACAGGCACGTCCCAACCATTGTTTGGATGTTAGAGGTGTTCCTGGAGGTGTTTCTCTCACTCCCCATACCCTGTAAAGAAAGCCTAGGACAATTACACTTCTTCTAAGTTAAATACCTCAGCTAGATGTCTAAAGTTACTTGGCATATTCCTGGGTCATCATAAGTGGTTTCAGAGAAGTAAAACTGTTAACAGTGTAAGTCCATAACCTTCCCTAGGATTCGTAAGGCGCATTCCCCAAATCACATCTGCCTGGAGTTAACACAAAACAAAGAAAACTCCATTCCTTCTTGTTTGTGTCATAAGCTCATACTTGTGTCGGTGTGGATATGTTATTTTAGTGGTCTAACTCCAGAGACCTCAGTAGAAATTAATTTTGCTGGCATAATGTCATGGCCAATATACTGGTAGACAGTGACAGTGGTTCCTAGTCATATCCTCCCCAAGGTACACACGTCTTCTCAAATCTGCTGTGAGTCTTTACTGCTTTTCGCTCCATGATGACTTTGACTTCAACCTTGTGTTATTCTTCTAATATCATAATTACTCTGTCATGTATCATCTGTGATCCGAAATGTCAGGGAGTGCTTCAGAAGCGATTATGTATCAGCAGAAATGGAGAACATAGGTGACAGCCTACCTACAAGTGTTAGCTGTGAACATGAAAGGGCCATAAAACAGACCAACAAACACTAATTGCATATTTTCTGACTTAAGTGGTAATCATTTAATTAAAGACAGCTATCAAAGATTAGAGCAGAACCTGGTACCAACGTGCTTGTAGTGCTATTGAAATGAAAGATGTTACCCTTTCTTCTGCCAGCGGTTTTGAGCCTGGGCTGCTGAATACTTTTGTGTTTCATTCCCAGGAGACAAGTGAGCAATGGATTTCCTTAGCCAATGCATGCACATTTTGCTGTTGTTTATTTACAGGTTCCCCAGAGAATATGCTTATCAAAAAGAGTGCAGGCTAGGCAAATTGCACCAAACATTGCTTATGCGCTGCAGCCTGAAATCAGAGCTGTGGCAGCAAGGAAAGGGCAATAAAACAGCAAAACCCAGCCCTTCTGAGAGCTGGAGATGGCTTTTTCCTATCAAAATGCTTAACTGAGTCCTTTTTAGAAACTAACTTGAGAATGAGAAAAAGGCAAAGTACAATGAAGATGTGATGTTGCATGTGGATGGACAGCTGACGGCATTTCAGACTAGCACACCCACTCCCCGATCCCAGGAGCAGTTTAAACACCTTCTCTTTAAGAGAAATGCTTTAAATATAGGACAGATCTTTCTCCAGTGTCAGTTGGCATTTCTCAACTATTTAACTTCAGTGCTGATTCCCGTCAGCTCAGGATTTCGCTCTCTATGTTATTTCTCTTACTCTAACTAGCTCTTTAACTGCTTGCTTTCATCTCCCACAGGTTTTTGCAGCGAAAGTGCTCAACTTTGTTCTCCCAAACCTGTCACTGGGATCGATAGATCCAAATGCAATTTCCCGGAACAAGAAGGAGGTGAGAACCTTAATGCCGTTTAAAGTCACTGCATAGTCGGTATCTCATCTCAGTCCCGCCATTTCTCTTTTAAAAAAACCCACAATGTGTTTTGCTAAATCACGAGGGCAAGATCTATGCTGGTGTAAAAAGGTGAAACATCTCTGAAGTCAGTGGAACGAGCTTTATGGATAGCAGAAAACTTGCTTCACCGCGGGAAATCAGGTGTTCTTCCCTTCGGTGCGCCTTGCACCCACAGCCTCTCTGGCTGCGAGATGTGACAGGGACCTGTGCTGCGGTTGTGGAAGGCGAACAAAGTTGTCTGGAGAGTGACCCAGAACTTGGTGCATTTTTAGAAATCAACTTGAATGATAGAAAATGGCACCCAGGGGTGTGTCAAAAGCAGGAGAGCTTCGCTGGTGTAGTGGTCAGTTGTTCCAGTGCTCCCAGGTCAGCTCGCATCGCGCTAACAGATGCTGCCATTTTTCCTGCTGTTCATGTGATGGTTCGTATCTTAAGTAGAAGTTAATAAATTGCCTTCCTCTGGGGAGGCAGCTCGACCAGCATTAGAACTGAAGCTGAAAGGATCAGGAGCAAAGACAGTGTCAGCGGCTGTGTGAGTGCAATGCATTCAGCTCAGCGTATCCCACCTCTTTGACTCACCTATTTGGGAAACTGGAAAGCAAAGAGTCTCCCAGAATAGCCTCAAGGTGTTCCGGGATGTTTCTTGGCTCTGCCAAAGAGGTTTTTAGTCAAATGACTTTCAGTTCACTTATCTGTGACCAAAGCCTAACATTTCACTGGGCTGAGGGTGGAAAGATTCAAGGAGCTGAGAAAAGGAAGACAAAGCAGGTTCTAGAAAACTGTCAGGACGAGCGTGGAGTGAGTTCATCTGCATCCACTGATGCATCGTATGACATATGTTCTTAAGTACCATATGAGGCTGCACAAAATATGTACTTGGGAGGAAGGCTGTTTCCAGTCAAGCTATAGAAACCTGTTCTTAATTACATTCAGCTGCCATAACTTGTTGCATCTAATTTAGAGAAAAGGTTTAAATGAGAGAAGTAATTCACTAAAATCACAGAGAGGAAAGTTTTCACTTCTGCATTTGTATTTAGAGGATAATAGCAATCAGTGCTCTGGAGGAAGGGAGGAATTTGAGTGTTACCCCCTACCTGAAGAGTGAGTGTGGCCGGGACACGTGAGCCTTTGCCTGCTGCCGCACTGATTTGTTGCGTGGCACTTAACTCTGTGCCACAGCTGGTCCTTAAGGGTAGCGGTTTTAAATACACCTCCGCAGTTGGATCCTCTGCTGGAAGATGCTAGTGCTGCACTAAATAGCTTTACAGGAGAGAAGTGCTGATGTGGGGACATGCCAAATAATAATGCACTTAGAAAAGTGTCAGTGAGCACCCTTAATTTGGCGACTGAGCATTTCCATGTAGGCTGTTGGGGTGATGTTAGGAATCACCATGGCAACCGCTGGACATAGTTTATAATAAATGCTATCCTGTTGTCTTTCTACACAAATATTTGCTGCTTCTCCCTCTGCTCTATGATGCTCCAAGTCTCAAGAGCTTCCTTTGGGCGTTGTTGCTTTTCCTCTGCCCTTTCCCTTTCCCTGGAGCAAGGGAAAGCCTTTTGCAGTGGGTAAAAATGTAGGTCTGCTTCATTAGAGTCTGGTTATAATGGACCAGTCTTCAAAATGAGACAAGAAGCTCCTCCTTGCTGTTCTGCCTGCACACCTGCAAGTGAACACACAGCTGACAGAGCAGCTGCAGATTGCGATGTAAAGCGCTTTCCTGACCATCTTCAAACACCAGGATTTGAGGCTCCAGGCACTTACTGAAGACAACGCAGCATCTCGGTCCTCTGGCTGCCTCTAATGCACGCTGCACCCTCCTTTTGGACTCAAGACGTGCAGCTTCAAAGCACACAATGTGCTGGAAACATCCATTATTTATACGTTAAACATATTCTCCTGCCAGACCAACTTTCTATTCTCTAGAAATATTTTTGGGACATCATCCAAGAATTTCCTGATGATTTTGTATTCCCAGCAGGCTGTCTGCAGGGTGTAGGGACTGAAACACAGGATGGTATGGAGATGTTTGTTTGATGTGCTTGCTATATCAAATGCAAGAGACACAAAAGAGAGCAAGAAGCAACCTTAAAAACCCCGTCCTGTTATCCCAAGGAGGAATAACATCACAGGGGTGGGCATCCCTTTACTCCATTAATCTTTGCTAGCTGCCATTGAATCCAGTGGAATAGTCTCCCCGATTTTAGCCTTGTTCCTGCAGAGTCCGTATAGGATGAAGCTGTAAATGCCTTATAATGAATTTATCACTCTGCAAAATGCAAAGGGAAGATAGAGACCTCTAAGCAGGGGAACATAATGCAGCAGGAGCCCTGATGGTCACTTCTGTCTTAGCATTACATAAAGAGAAAAAAGGGCTGTTGTGATGGACTCTACAGAGCCTTCGCTGGACCACAGCTGGAAGCAGTCGCAGGCTCTCCCAGGTCACCCTCACTCACTTGCCCCTGCTGTCCCAGAGCTCAGTGTGCCAACAGGAGCTCTAGGCTTGCAGGGTTTGCCATTTATAGGTCACAGGATATACAGCCCATTCCCTATCTTCCTCTCTTTCCCCGGCAAGCTGCTGCTTTGCCCTCGCGCCATGCACTGAACATTAACTCTGACAAGGATTCCTGTTCATTTTCTGGGAACGGGATCCTCCCCCCGCAGTCCTGATCGATCTGGGTTAAGATTGGGTTATTATTTTTTTCTCCTCCTATCATCTACACAAAAATATTTGTTGGCTGCTCAGTAGCTTAAAAATCCCTGTTCTTTCAGAGAAGAACAAGAAAAAGAAAGAAACCCATTAGGTCATTCTCTTAGCATTTATGGGGCTGGGGAGGGGGCCAGCTCACATGAATTCATCAACATTGTTTTACTCCATAGGAAGGGAACTTCTGTCAATCCATCCACCCACCCTCCTGATCCCACCCTCCCTGCAAAGTCCCTCATTTGTTACTTTCAATTAAAAAAAAAAACACCAACTAAAAAAATAAAAAGAAATCCATCTCAGAGCTGTCTTGCTTTAGCGCAGCGCTGTGACATAGATCCAGACAAGTAACTCCCAGATTAGGCTGAAGCCAGTTGCTAAGTAGCCAGTGCAACACATCAAAATCCTGATGAAAAATCAACGTTTGGCTGAAAATATCAGGGTACACCCAGCTGTCAGCGGGCGTGCGAGCAACACATGGGGCGGTTGGTGATTTGGAAGTCAAAGCTGGAGTTTTTCCATGAGCACATTCTCGAGAGGATGCTTCTTTCTAAACACAGGCAGCTGCTTGCTCCTTTGAAGCACTTTGCAGAGCAGGGAAGGTACAGCAGGCAGGCAGGCTGAGCGGTCGAGGGGATGGAGGGCACAGGTGGAGGTTTCTGCACCAACAAGCTGGTCGGGCACTGGGAAGGTCCATGCAGAGCCAAGAGAGGACCACATGCTGTTCAGCCTCTCTGCTTCCTGTGGCCTTCATCAGGAGCACAGGATGCTCAGCATGTTTTGAGAGTGGGTCCTTTTACCTTAACCGCAACCTCATCTTTGCAGTGGCCTCTTACAAACAGTGTTTTCCAAACCCCCAGTGTACATGGGCGCTTGCTGCTTTGAAATGGAGATACTCTACATAAGATCCTAATACTAGGAGCTGTGATGAGAGACCTCTCTGTCTCCCTGCCAAAAACTACCCCTTGCTCCAGAGCAGCCATGATCTTGCACAGAGGCCAAAACACAACAGTGGCCTGAATCAAATCCTGGGAATGTCTGCTGAATCCCAGGGTCCCTAAATGAATGCCACAACAAATGGAATTTCTTTGGTCCAACTCCAGCACAAGTTAGAGTGGCTCTACAGCTCTAACCCCCTTGACCATCGTCAGCACTGTGGGCTGGGACTGAGGGGTGCCAGGTGATAGTAGTCCCAAATTCCCATCCGCTCCTTCCCCTGGCTGCACTCGGGGATAGGAACCATGGGTTCGAGCAGCAGGAGAGAGTGGGGACGGGAAGCAAGAAGGTGATGGGGAAGGACTTGTGTGCACCAGCGTGCCTCGCTGCCAGCTCCATTTCCAGTGCTTTGTGCCCAACACATCTGAGACAACGAGCAGGGAAACTGGCTTTACACCCTTTGGCAAATTAATTCCCCCCAGCTGGGAAAGCCCCGCCATGTAGTGTCCTTGTGCCACTCTGATAATCTCGTCTCACCTCACAGGGAGATGAATGCAGAATCCATCCCGAAGCCTTTCTGGCTTCTTGGTGGGGACCAGGCAGGCCACGCTGTCCTGCTGCAGCGCTACATGTCCCTGGGTGGCCTCGTGGGTCACCTCACACCCACAGTCCCCTCAGGGCAGGCACATACAGCAGCAAGTGGGCCTCACGTTTCTGCAAAGCGAGGGAGAATTTGAACAGATCCCACTGCCTGCGAGGAGAGGAGACTGTTTTCGGCTAACCTATAAATAACCATCATTTCTATAAACATCTGCCAGGGTAGGGAGAAACTGGAGGCTGTGCCAGAGACCAACCCATAATCAAAGCATTCTGGCAAATACTGAGATGGCAGTGGCTGTGTGGGCCGTCTCCACGTACAGTATACAAATATTTACTGTAGATTTGCCTGCTGCGGTAACTACTCATTCCTAGCAACTTTCTGCACCAGCTCTTGTACATTTTTATCTTCTCACAGTCTGGCTGAGCAAATTATTGACTTTTTTTTTTTCCCTACCACCCAATACCATCATTTGCTGCCTTGACTGTGCACACTTTGCACCCAGAGAGGACCCTTGGCCTAAGAGTGCTTTGCAGTCAGATGTGTCAGTTGTCTGTAGGTGTAGGTCACGGTCTCCATCCCCAAAGAGGGAAGCTGAAAGAGAACATCTGAGCCCTCAGCAGAGAAGATAAGGACCTGGGGAACATCAGCTCTCAAGTAACGCAGTCTGAAGAACCCTCTGCAGAAGAGACTGTCACTTTTGAGTGACAGGTGGACATGGCAGAGCAGAAAAATGCAGGCAGGTGACCCCACGGGAGCAGTCTTTGTCCAGCACTGGTTGCTTGCCTGTAGAAAGAGCTTTGGCTTGAATATTTCCTAGTGAGGTAAGAGAAACACACAGCATGGGGTAAGCCAGGTTGTGTGAGCTGTTCTGGGTAGCCACAGTAAAGACCTCGACCTTGACTCTGATGGCAGGATGTCCTGACAGAGTAGGAAATGACCATGCAAGCCACAGGAAGAGACTCCTCACCGCCGGGCTGATCTGCTTTGTCTTTTCTGCATGAAATATTGCTAACCTTAAATTACCTCTTTCTCCCTGCCAGATGGAATCTTACACATCCGATCCCTTGGTGTACCATGGTGGCATGAAGGTCTCCTTTGTCATCCAGCTGATGAATGCCATTGCCAGAATTGAGCGAGCTCTGCCCAAGCTGACTTTGCCCATCCTGGTGCTACACGGACGATATCAAAGGATCCTATTTACTGATGGATACAGTGCAGAGTCAGGACAAAACACTCAAGGTCACCTTGCTTTCTTGATTTTTAGGGTATTATCCTGTCAATATTGCCTGAGCATGAGTGCCTATGAGGGGTAGGGAGCCCGCTGAGCTCTGGAGAGCTGGAGGCAAACAAGAGCTGATGCATTGGTGAGACCGAGGAGGTTACAGCCCCTTTCATCAGGAGGTAGCCCTCCCGAGGCACAGTGAGGTGGCCTTTCACCAGCTACAGCTGGGCTGTGGGCAAGGGGTGGTGAGTGATCTCGAGACCTGACCCAGGGGTGGCTGTGTACCTAAAGGGTCTCTTGGACATGGAGCAACTTGGCATAGAAGTAGAGCGAGGCTCATAAGCAGGAAAAGTGCTGACCCCAAAAGCTCTTCTGATCAATGCCAACTGTGTGAGCACCAACCTTACCTCATGCCCTGGCGCGTAAAGGTGCAGGGGGGCCTTTCCAAAGCACTGCACAACAAAAGCCACTTCACATCTGTTCATTTCAAGAGAGCCACAGCTGATTAACCAATTGTTAGCACATGAATGAGCCTGAAAGAGGGACAGGGAGACCAAGGGAAAGCTTTTGTCATTGGAAAAATATTCTGGGCATAAAAGGAGTAAAATTGCACAAGGCACGATGGGAACATCCCCCATTGTCCTTTAAACTCCAAGGGCATGATAGGTATTTCCTCCTTAGTGGGACAGAAAGCAAGAAATGCGTGGGGTTGGGACGTACATTATCTTCCTTACGGGCAGCAGGGTGCGCGGGTAATGCGCAGATGTCGAGCTGCAATGCCAATGCCTTCCTGCTCGCGGAGGACGAGTGCTGCCAGTGGCATCTCTTTGATGTCATAACGTGCCACATCTAGGATAAAAACCTGACCAGGAGTGGACCTGTAGGTGTTGATGACAGGGGACCGAAGGCTGTTTTGTTCATGCGGATTTTTTTTTTTTCTATGCTAATCTCTGCTCTCTCCCTGGTTGCAGGTGTATGAGGAAGCCTATCATGCTCTCCACAAAGAGCTGCCTGAGGTGTCTACCTCTGTCTTCACAGAAATACTAACATGGATTGGCCAGAAGGTCTCAGCAGCTGGGGAAACCAGCCATACTTAAGAGCAATTGTTCTTGCAGCTCTTACTGGGGTTTTCTGGGAATCGATGCTTTTCTTAACAGAAGTCTCTCTGAAAAAGATCTAATGTGCAGGGACTCTTGGGATATTTTATCATGCACAGCAAAAGGGAGGGTGGGGGGAGAGGCGCAGGGTGGGGCATTATTTGCTGATGTAAATGTCCATTGCCCTAATCTGGGGAAGAATTGATAGCTGTGGGAGCAGCTGTCAAAGCTTTCAGGTTGGGCGATTGTACTGACATGTCCCTCACCCACCCAAATTCCTCCATCACTTCCCCTTCCCTGCTTTTGCTGGGGTGACAGGGGTGTATTTATATTGCAATAATTTTTGGTATGTTAAAGAAGTCAGTATCTTCCACTTCATGGTTTTGATTCCAGGTGCGTACAGAACCTTCCCTGACCCCACCATCCAGTACCTTAAAAGCCCTGGTCCTTGAGAAGAGAGCAGTAACGAAGGTGCTGGGTAACAAGGAAAGGCTAAAAACAGAGCTGACAGCTCCCTGAAAGTGAAAGGCTGATTTTCAAGGTCAGACCCCTTTGGATACTGCCTTTATAAGCAGGCCAGGCTCGGGGGGGGGGGCAAATAAAGAGAGCCTCCCCCCACCACCCTGCATGTCTTCTGCGAGTTTGCACTCGGGGAAGGGGCGTTGTACAGCTCTTTAATTTTCATTGTCAGAGCAGGGTCCCAGAGGGGAGAGGAGGAATGTGGAATCAAACCCACTTAGCACATTCAAACCCCATGCTTTTCCCAATGCCACACCTATCTCCTCTGCAAGATGAACTATTCTGTAAATATTCAAAATATTCCTAGGGGTTGCTTTTTTCCTTCCTTCCCTTTTTTTTTTTTCTTTTTTTTTTTCTTTTTTGGAATTAATCACTTGTGCTACTGAAACTGAAAAAGCAAAGTCAAAGTTATAAGAGAATATAGTAATATAATATATGATGTATATAGAAGTGGCTGGGAGCTAGGGAAGAGATGGGAGGAGAGTCTAAAGAAGGGGTTAATTGTTCCTTCTCTTGGCGAGGAACAATGTTGTCCTACCGGGATCCAGTCTTCTCACCATAACTTTACAGTCATAATCTGTTGTTTTCCTTCATCAGTTGGAAAATGTCCTGAAAATAATGCTAGAGAGAAGCGCAGAGCATCTGGTGGGTGGGAATTAGCAGTGGGTGTCCTCATGGTCCACCGGTTTAGCAGGAGACCCACAGCGTGAACAGAGATCCCGTCCAAGCTCATCCCAATCTCCTCCTAATCAGCATGGCCGCCTCTGGGGCAGATCACAGAGCGCAGGGGCCGAGCTCACCCCTTTAAGCAACGTGGGGAGCTGAAGGCAGAGTACAGGGTGCAATTGTCCATCCGACATCTACCTTGCTGCACAGGGGCATCCAGGGGCACTGGTGGACAAGCTGATATGGAGGAGCTTGTGAGCTGGACCAGTGGTGCAGACAAGGCAAAGCCTAGAGCTGTGTCTGGGGCTCTGGTAGCAGCAGAGCTGAAGGAAGGGCTTAAGACCCGGCTGTGGAGCAGAGGCATTGTATCAATACAGCAAAAGCTGTGTAACGATCACAGCATGGCTGTGCAGCTCAGTTTGTCCAGAGTGATGGCCCTAGTTATGAATACACTTCTTGGCACTAGCCAAAGGGAATGGGTTTAACCTGCACCTATCCCTCCAATTTTGCAAGAAGAAAACACCTGCAAACGTTGCACTATGAGAGAGTGGGGCATTGCCCCCAGTGACAAACCAGCCCCCTTGCTGCCTGCCCCAGCAGCAGTGGGAACCGTCCCTACACCTTGTGCCACTGCCCCCAGGGCTGGATCCTGCCTGCAGCAGCCGTGGGGGTCACCCACCTCTCCTCCCCTCGAAGCCAGTGCTGGCAAGATTCAGGAAAGGGACCTTTGTGCAATAACAGTCAGAATCAGGGCTCGGTCCCGTTCGGTCCCAGCAGCGTGGATGGAGGAAGGACGTGTGGATGCAGGTTACGTCCCTGTAGTGGCCCTAAGGGGCTCAAGTCAGGAAAGCTCTTTTATACAGGTTGATCCAGGCACTTTCATACTTGTATTTTTTTTCTTCTAAAGAGAGGAACGAGCTGTAGTTCTCCCAGCAACACCAGCTTTTGATTCATTATTCCAGTGCAATCAGCTGTTTCCACAAGCCCCTACAAAACCTCTGGCGGCCCTTGCTTTGGGAAGGAGGCGATGCACAGGTCACCTGCTCCGTATCTTCCAGCAGCCTGGCTTGTTGCAGCCTCTGTTCCTCGAGCAAGACCCCTCCTTGCAGATGCTGCTGGGGAAAGACAGCAAAAAGATAAATACTACAGAGGTGTGTCCTGGATTTCGGCTGGGGTAGAGTTAATTTTCACAAGAAGCTGGGAGGGGACACAGCCAGGACAGCTGACCCAAACTAGCCAAAGGGATATTCCATACCATATGACGTCATGCTCAGTATAGAAAGGGGGGAGCTGGCCGGGGAGGGGTCGCTGCTCACAGGGTGATAAACCTCACCTGCTGCTTCAGCTGGAAGGGGAATCAAGTAGGCGTGAGCCAGTGGTGACAGACATTGCGGGGGTAGTAGCAAGATGATGATTTAAGGATGGGATTTTTGAAAGCACTTTTCACGAGAAAGGAGGAACAAATCAATGCCCACATTCTTTACATCCCTTCCCAAACTGACAAGCACTTTGCGGGGGGGAGGGAAGCGGCCCTCCAGCAGGAAGGTCAGAGCCCTCTGCTCCCTTCAACCTGGCTTCGGGCAGAGGAAGGTCCATGGTCAGTGCCTTTGATAAAATGTGTCCTTTCACTCAAGAAACATCTGCGGCTCAGCAGAAATAAAGGGACACCAATTACGTTCATGTGGGGAGGGCTCGTCCCTCTGCCTAGCTAAGCTCAGCAATGGCATGTGGCCTGGGGAAGCTGTGTTTGAAATTCAGGTTAACAAAAAGTTGAAAGAACAACAAAAAAGCCAAATAAGCCCCAAGCCCCTGGCACAGCAGGGGTTACTGCCACCCTCAGCCAGTTTTCTGAAGAATTATCTTCTGAGAAAATTAACACAAGGAAACCTCCCCCAAAAAAGCCCCGAAGGCTCAGCATCGTGCCCCGAGCAGCAGCGCACACCTCCAGGCACACCTCCGGGCAGGCTGCTGAGCGGGGGGAGCAGCCCTTTCGCAGTGGGGAGACGAGTGCGGAGGGAAGGAGCCAGGAGCAGACCAGCCTGGGTCAGCTGAGATGCTGGTTTGCACCAGCTGCGGCTCAGCCTGCGCATTTCAGCTCTCGCTGCTGTTGCTGATCCCTTACCCTGCCTGTAAGCTACTTTATATTGACCCAGTTAGGTTTCACCGTGCCCAGGAGGAATTCTTCCTTCGCTGACCGGATTAGTAATGAGCAGAGCTGCTGCCGAGGGAAATGTAATTAAACTCTATTTTCAAATGGCAGGTACCATTTGCAGGGAGCACAGCTGGCCTTACGAATGTTGCTGTGCGGAGCCGCACCAGAGACTGGTCTGCCTCTGCAAATAGGTGGCACTCGTGACTGAGCAATAGCAACGTGTAACTACTGTATATATCACCACCTGTAGCACTGAGAGACCGTTCCCCACTGCCTAACCTATCGCATCTTCTAGTTAGCCTGTTCTTTTTATACCACTCACCTTGGTACACTGCCAGCACAAACCCATTGAGGTCATACTTACTTTTCCAAGTAATTTCTGAGCTTGTCTCTCTTGTTCTGTTGTGTTCCAGTTCAATAAAATACATTTATATATATACATATATAAAAACATATATACATACACATGTATTTTCAGTGGGAAAAACCATATACAAGTTTAGGATTCTTAAAGGAATACAATGTATATTGCAACTAATAATAAAGTTATGTTTTCTGAACAGAGTGTGTTTGAGGGCATCATTGGTGACTGCCATCCGTCCATCCATCCATCCTTGTGGAGGAGGAGGCTGCAGCCCTGGGTGCTGCCGAATTG